GACGCAGGAAGGCGTTGGCATAAGGGAGGCGGAGGGGCGGTGGAGGAAGTATCATGTTGACTAAACTGCAAGAACATCGTTTACCCAGGTATGTATCGAGATGCATTCCTAACTTGCGCTCCTCCGGATCGTCTGAAACGTAAGTTGGGTTGATGGCACAGTTCCCCAAGGTGGGTGGGGGAGGTGGAGGGGAGGCGGAGGGGCGGTGGAGGCCTCATGTTCACTATGCAATGCGATACCATCTACCTAGATATGTAGGAATATCGAGATGCATTCCCAACTTGCGCTCCTCCGAGTCCGTCTGAAACATGAGTTGGGTTGCTGGCACAGTTCCCCGCCCGGTGGTCCCAGCTCGCCCTAAAGTTGTTATCCCTGACCGAGCTACTGCGGCACTCCCCAGCACCTCCCTCTCCTTGCCAGCGCCGCACTGAAGAATCCTCTGCAGTCGCCGTGGACCGCTAAGACGCCCGTAAGAGAGCGGCATTGTCACTGTTCCTAATCCAGCCGTCTCCACCGCCCAGACTCAGACTTGGTGTTCTCCGCTACTTGACACCCAACATCCACCACGACTACACCGACTTCCCCTCCGAAGCGATTGCGGCCGCCACGATGAACAACAACCAGCAAGGCAACCGCCTGCAGCTCAACTTTGGCTTCGGCGGCGGTGACCGAAACAACCAGCAGTACCAGCAGGAAGTCGGCAGAGCATTCCCGACAACACCTTCGACGTTCCCGCAACCTGTATACCCCAACCAGGCCGGCCAGCAGGAAGTCTGGGGCGCCCAGCAGCAGCAACAGGGCAATGGCTACAATGGGGGCGGAGGCTACTTCATGAACCCCTACCAGCAGGCACAATACCAAGGGCAGCAGGGTAACCTCCAGGCGCCAGGCAGCCAGCGCTTCGACCAGAGCGCCAATGGTCTCGCCCAACAACTGTCGCACCAACACCTTGGGGGCAGCGGTCGCTCTGGAAGCCCCTATGGCCGACAAGCCTCCCCGAACCCTGGACGTCCTCGCACCGCAGACAACAGAGGAGGCTATGGCTACGGAAGCCAGGGTGGCAGCTCGGGGCCTCGACAGCCCTCGCTGTACGATGAAGAGGCGCCGCAACGAAACCCCACCAAGTACACGGAGAATGTAGACAAGCAGGCCATGGTATCCAAGAGTCTCATCAATACATTCTTCAAGGACAGTGTACAGCGGGCTCGCGACCGAAACCAAAGGTGGGATTTCCGGACGTTTAGTTGAGCACTACTGACCTTGCTACAGAGCTCTCGAACTTGATGCCCTTATGAAAGAGACCTCCATCTCCGACAGCCGAAAACGGTCCAAGGAGGACAGCATGCGCCGTGCCGAAGTTGAATACCTACGTTTCTTACGGACAAAGGAGAAGCCCGAAAACTTCTCGACACTGAAGATTATCGGCAAGGGTGCGTTCGGAGAGGTCAAGCTGGTGCAACGGCGCAACGACGGCAAGATCTACGCGCTCAAGTCGCTTGTGAAGCAGGAGATGGTAGGCAGTTCCCGTTCGATACCCACCTGCAGCATTAAGCTCACACGCCACAGTTCAAGAAAGACCAGTTGGCCCACGTACGGTCAGAACGTGACATTCTCGCCGAATCCGACAGTCCATGGGTTGTCAAGCTGCACACGACCTTCCAGGACAACACTTTCCTCTACATGCTTATGGAGTTCTTGCCAGGTGGTGACTTGATGACGATGCTGATTAAGTACGAAATCTTCACTGAGGACATTACACGATTCTACATGGCCGAGATCACGCTTGCGATAGAGGCCGTCCACAAGCTTGGTTTCATACACCGGTATGTGTTTAGTAGTTGCGAGAAGACGAAATTCTAACTTTCCCAGTGACATCAAGCCCGACAACATCCTTCTCGACCGAGGCGGCCACATCAAGTTGACAGATTTCGGTCTGTCGACAGGCTTCCACAAGGAGCACGACGCCAACTACTACAAGAAGCTGCTCGCTGGCGGCGCACACAAGTCGAACCGCGACAACCGACAATCAATGAACCTAGACCAGATTCAACTGACTGTCAGCAACCGTACCCAAATCAACACATGGCGTAAGTCTCGTCGACAGCTCGCCTACTCGACCGTCGGTACACCCGACTACATTGCGCCGGAGATCTTCAGTGGTCAAGGTTACGACTACAGCTGCGATTGGTGGTCGGTGGGCACAATCATGTTCGAGTGTCTGATCGGCTGGCCGCCGTTCTGCGCTGAGGAGCCACACGACACGTACCGCAAGATTGTCGACTGGCCGCGTAACCTGCACTTCCCTCCCGACCAGCAACTCGGCGCGGAAGCTGAGGACTTTGTCCGACGGTAAGCGCCTCTATCCCACACGATCTTCCCAATCATGCCACTAACTAACATTTGTTCAGGCTCATCTGTGACGCCGAACACCGCCTCGGTCGCATCGGCGGCGCCAACGAAATCAAACAGCACCCCTTCTTCCGCGGCGTCTCCTGGGACGGTCTCCGCCGTATCCGCGCGCCCTTTGAACCCAAACTGCAGTCCAACATTGATACTCAATACTTCCCCATCGATGAAATTGACCAGAATGATACCTCGGCTGCTCACAGGGCGCAGGCCGCACAGGCAAACGAAGACGAGTATGCAACGAGCCTGCCCTTTATTGGGTACACGTATAAGCGTTTTGACGCGTTCCGCGGGTCGTAGATTGGTATTCTGCTGGAAGGGTTGATGAAGGAAGGAAGGGAGGTGTTAAGGAAAGGGTGGTCCGGAAATCTGGGGTCGAGAACTTTCGCTTTCCGTCTGTCTGTCTCGAAGCCGTTCCCTTTTGATAGCATGAAGCCTGAATGGGAAGGAAAGTGTTCTGGCTGGTACCACTATCACATCATGTCATAACCATATACTACATAAATCTTTGCGCACAGCGTGTGAATGGAGTAATGGCTCGTAAAGGTTTTCTTGATCCTCTGTTTACTAGGGCTGAAGTGAAGGTCACGTCAAAGAAAGAAGTATGAAGCGTGTGGTAATAGTCATGGTGGCTGATGTGCTTGTGATGGTTGAAGTTTGGGAATTGCTGCTGTTACTCCATACCGCATTCGACTTGCGACTAAATACCCTGATCAAACTCCTGTACTAATGCCTTCTGAAATATCACGTTCACATATCCCCTCTCGCTCATGTTCCTCCGTGTGCAAATGTCGCTGTCATATGTGAACTATCCCGTCGCGGGTTCTCCTACTCCCGTATACGCCTGTCATCCGTGCAGAGATATCGCCAGACTTTTCTCGTGTCACCGCTTCGCCGTTCTGCCGTGTGGTGTTGTTTCGCTGAAAGAGTTGGGGACGTGCGCGTTCATCGGGCTTCGAATTGGACCATACTGGATGTTGTGTTAGTGAAGTTGTTCGTGTAAGATCTGCTGTCCGCCTCTCGTCTTTGTGCTACAACACGCCTGACGCCTTCATGCCGCCTCTTGCCTCCTCTTTCCCGCCCTTCTCCTCCCCATCCGACGTGCGCTCGGTCGCGCGCATTCTCTCATCCTTCCTGCTACTCTCTCTCTTCTCCCCACAACATATCGCCTGCCCTCCTCCTGCCCTTTATTTCCATCCTCTCAATGCAGCATCTCACTTACCGGTTCGTCCTCTGCTTATAAAGCACACGATGCCCACAGTTCCTGCACCGAATCGGCTCTCCGCGCTTCAGCGGCACGTCCATGTCGCAGTCGCCGCATTTGTAGTGCACAGTGCGCGCCGTTGCGTCGATTTGGCTGACGGTTGCTGGGTCGGTGGTTTGCTGGGGGTTGTAGGCGGTGGACATTTTGGCGGTGGTGTTGGCGGGAAAGAGATCTGGGTGGTAGGAAGGGGGTTGACGGTGAGGTGGAGTGGTATGGAAGAAGGTGTGGTGTGAGGGTTGGAGGCAGAAATGTTTAGGTTGCGATGATGGGTTGCGCCGAAAACCGAGGGTCGCGGTGGCACGTGCTGCGGGCTTATCGATAGTGCATTTCATTCTTGATCGAGACGCGTCCATGACCAGCCACCACTCTCTCCAGCATGGATCAAGGCTGAACCGCTGGCATGCTTCCGACTGTCACTATATCGAACCGAGACACACCTTGTGGATCGTATCGCAGAGAGTACTCCCTTGGTGGCCTCAATTATCCGGGTCTTCACGCTGTCTACCCACGGCTCCTTGAATTCAGACCTTCGCACACGCATACCCCTTCATCTTCTCCATTCCTAGGTCGACAGTATGACTCGTGAGCACAGCAAAAGAAAAGGCACGAGGATGTGGTTACCCCGCCTGGATGTGGAGGCTAATCAGCGCCTCCTCCATGCGGCTGAGGGCTGAATGATGCAGGACTGGCCTCAACCGAACTAAGGTGGTGACTACTTCCGCAGCATATATCTTCACGCCCTCAATCACGATTTATGGGAACATTCAGCGATCTCTCGGATTCTCAACCCCACTCCAAACACTCGTAGCCTCGCGCTCTCTGCCACCACGCGTGTCCCGTCTTTCCATGGCACCATGGCTCTCAACTTTGCCGCCGCGGCTCCTCTGAAGCCGGAGATTCGACTGGGTAAAGCTCTCAAAGATTTTGAAGCTAGCCTTTCCGATGGACAAAAGCTCACATTTCAGACCCGGCGGACGCAGACAGTGAAGTCTCCTCCGAGCACCAAGGATGTTATGCGAATCACCGCAGAGATCAACTCTTCGCGAAAAGTGGGAGAGCGTTGTTTTGGACCTCGGTTTTCCAAGTTTCTCCATGGAGCGCAAGAGTTTGCTGCTATTGGTGATGTGGTCGTAGGCAGTTCCCAGAATGTCGCCGCGTGTGGTGTATGGACAGTGATACGGATGACCTTACTGGTACGTGTGCGTCTTGTACATCGATGTTGTTTGCGGATTCGGATTCTGATTCGTTGTCGAGGCCTGAGAACCCATTCCTCAGTACTTCTTGCATTACAGAGATCAATCTAACCGCTTGATGACTTTAGGCGGCTACTATGCGTTCGGAGTACATCGAACGTTTGTCTTCCCTTCTTATGGAAGCTGGCCATTCGACCCAACAGCACTCAGATTTGGCAGCGCTGTACCCTCGCTCAAAGACCCTGCAAACCAACATCATCGAGTTCTTTATTGTTGTAGTACAGATATGTCTTCGTTTCCATCGGTATACCCAGAAATCCGGGCCGGCCAAGTTCGTATCTTCGCTCAATGACAGCGATATCGAAGAACTGCGATCAAGTCTTATAGCCTGGTCAAAATCGATTCAAGAAGAGATCACGACCCTTGTCGCACAAACGGTAGAAACAGAAGCTAAGAGTAATTCGGCCTTCCGAGCACTGATGAGCTCCAGCTTTAAAAGAGCTTCTGAACGGCAAAGGCAGATTGCTCTTCGAAAGATTCGGAATCGCTGTTCAACCTACGACTACGAGACCCCGTGGAGACAGATCCGCAAAGCTGGGAACACCTGCCTGTACAAGGAGTTACCTCAGTACAACCAGTGGATAGAGGCACCAGCCTCAAAGACCTTGATTCTGGTTGAGAAACTTGGATATGGAAAATCTGTCACGCTTGCGAACATTGTGGATGATCTTAACTTGCGCATCGATCCCAAGGCTTGCGGACTCGCATACTTCTTCTGCCGACACGATATTCCTCAAAGCAAACAGGCAGAAACGATCATGGGCGCACTCCTACGCCAGATTATCAGCCCACTCGAACATCTCCTCGATGAATCTCAGGTTATGAATCTATATAACCTTCCTCAGCCACTTGGTCTAATGCGTCACGTTGTTCCTTCTGGATATGTCTTGTATATCATAGTTGACGGTCTGGATGTATGTTCTCCCTCAGAACGAAAGACGGTCACAGAGCAATTGGAGCTTATGGCGACGCATTTCAACGTACATATCTGCATTTCTCGCCGCCTGGAACCTGATACCAAGCTGCAGACTATCGCTAAAGACTTCTCGAAAGCCACTATTACCCGGCTTCCCAATAACGATTCGGATATCGAGACGTACGTCGAAGCGCAATTAGAGGCTGCTTTATTGGAAAAGAAGTTGGTTTTGGGTGAGCCCGCTATCATTCTTGAGATCACGAATGCGCTATTGGACGGCTCGCAACATATGTTTCTCTGGGTTGCTCTTCAGATCCAGTCGCTTTGCATAATGCAAACCGATCACGACATTCGAAAAGCGCTCGTCAAATTGCCCAAAGATCTTTCAGAGATCTACAGCCAAATACTACAGCAAGCAAAGTGTCTTGAGCGGCCACTACGAGCAGATATCTTCAAGCTCATATTGGTTGCGAGACGGCCACTCACGCTTCTCGAAATGCGAGAAGCACTGAGCGTCACCCCAGGCAATACTACATGGGATCCCTCTAAGCTTCTCAACAGTATAGATCCGGCACTTGCAACCTGCGGGTGCCTTATCACCGTCGACGAAGAGGAACATACTATACGTACAGTCCATCCGAGTGTGAACCAATTTCTGCTCCAAGACACTCTTACCACCCCAGAAACGGTTCGCGGTATCAAGATTACAATGGAGGACGCGCAGTCACTGATGTCATCGATCATTATCACATACCTCGGTTACGGCATCTTTGGCACGGAACTTGCTGTCCGCCCGCCTGTGCTCAACGTAGGATCAGTACCAGACGATGTCATCGAGTCTACGATGGGTACAAACAAAAATACTCTGGCTACGGCCTTGAAGCTGCTGCGGTCAAGAAAGCAGAGCAACTTCGATGCTTCTAATGCTTTCGCTCAAAACATTAAGTCGCCTAGCCCACCAAACAGGGACGACTTCCTCTTCCAACATTACGCAAAGTCATACGCTCTACAACATCTTTCAGACCTCCCTGCTGTATCATGCGATGCTTCAGAGAATCTGTTGCGAATGGTGAAAAGTGGCGCAATGATAGTCAAATCCATTGAGGAGGCAATCGGACTACTTTGGCTCATGCTCCGACCGCCTGGAAGATCAGACGTTTTCGAGCTTCTTACACATATAGACTTCAGTGCAGTTGAAGTCTTGCACTCTTCAACCGGTCCCAATCTGGTCCATTTGTTCAGCAAGCTGTTCCAGTCAGCCATAGTCAATGGTCATACGCAGGCGATCAAGTACCTGGTGGATTTGTATGATCCACTTATCAGCAAATCTCCCGATTCTGTGCAGCCACTCCCAAATCTTGCTTTCCCCGCACTCAGGGATTTCTACCATCATCATGGAACGAATTCAAGTCAGTATTCCGATGCGCCTGCAATAGTGTTCTTTGGAATTACTCCCATAACTTATGCTATTGAGACCTTCCAAGACGACTCTTTGGATCTTCTTTTGAGCTACGGTTTCCTTGATTTCCATGTTGCCGATGAGCTTATTCCTGTTAGCGTTGCCATTAATATCGGGAACCATAGAGCCTTGGAACTATTGCTCTCTGCACACCGCGAGGCGGAGAAACCGTTGACACTAAAGACTGCGCAGATGGGAATCAGAATTGCCACCGAACTGGGAAAGGACGACTCCATCTTGTTGCTTCAAAACTATATCAGAACGATGTATCCGAACGCTGCTAATCACGACAGCATGACAAAGTTCTCGTGATCATGAACAGTTCCTGTGAACGAGACGCGATGGGCAGGCGTTTGATCTCTTGGGTTGAGACCGTGGGATCTAAGTATCGAAAACACTCCATAAAGTCATCTGAAGTTATACAAAGCGGGTTTGAGTCTTGATGGGATTTTTTGGAACACCAATAATTGGCCGGAGTAGAAAGGACCTACGACTAGCGATGCTATGGTACATCTTAGTGTGCAGTCATAGTTTAGCGATAAGCAGCTGCTTCACCTTATCTTACGTCAATGCGTTTGCTCTGTTGCCTTTACTTCCACGAATAGTTAGTCGTCACTACGACTTTCAGAGACACCTAGCCTTCGACACCCAATCTTTACCTCTACACACTCCAGTCGCTCGTTGCTTCCAACCACCACCTGCTTCTCATAATGGCGCCGGCATCATCCACGACTTCGCTTCTAGAGTCGCTCAAAGCCATCGAAATCCTCAAAGGCCTGATCCTTGGTACCGGTCCCTACCTCTTATATGATGCGCCTTCACTGACATACCACGTAGACCATGCCCGCGCCATCTACGGTCATTCGTATCCTACTTCCCACCACACCTTCTCGGTCATCACCTGCGTTATGGAATGGGGCACAATGCGGGCCCCAGACAACAATTACTTCGCTGAAGTCATTGTCTATACCACGCCTGATTCATTAGTGGAATGGAAGCTTTTGATCACGGGTGAAGAATCAGAATCGGACCTGGAGGCTATGAAGAGCTTGTACTTCACGGTACAACGGCAGGTCGGTGAAATCTCAGGTGAGAGAAAAGGTACGATGATTTGAGATTCCGCTAATCATATCTAGGCGAAATGAATGTTGGTGATGTCTGGAACGACGCGGTAGCTAAGGAGATAGAGGCGGAGAAAGAGAACGCTGCATGAGTTTCGTGACTATCGTGACCACGAATGGCGAGCCATTCATCATTGGGTCGAACGCTTGACAATAGTTAGCGGGCGCAAAGGAGGACACGCGCGGTCAGTAGAAGTAACGGGTCTTCTGCAGTAGCCAAAGACGGATCTTCGCTTACGTCGAGTTCCATCGTTTTCTTCGTGTTTATCTCCATGGGACCAGAATTCTGGTCGGCCGCAAATACACTGTGCGTGCCGAAAGGCGCCCGCCTGATGCGCGTCATTTGAGCTTGGCGCACACGCAATAGGAAATACTAAATTGAGAGTGAAGGTGACTCCGAAAAGGTTGTCTTGGCGCAAACATATTTGACAGATTTTGCTCTCCCCTCTTAGACTTCTACACTCGACTTCAAATCTGAACGCAGCACCAGTAAAGATGACTCCAGAACAAGAGAAGCAGGCCCAGGCGCAGTACGAAGAGAACCTCAAGGCCGCCATCATCTGTATGTACTAGCACTGTCACCTCCGTTTACATCGCTAACATGTTGCAAAGCCCACGCCCGCGTTATCTTTGGCCTCGAGTACTCCTTGACCGACGTCGTCAGTAGCGAGGTTCCACAAGGCTTCGTCTCCCACGTCATCCATTACCCCAAGATAAAGCCGTACAACCAAGCCGGTCGAGTCGTAACCGGCGGGTCCAAGAGACTTTTGTCTTCTAAAACATGCTCCGGGGTACCAGAAACCTACGAAAACCTACTGCAGTTTCTTCGTTCTAGGATGGCCGCTACGATGAGTACTTAGGTAAGTAGGGGAGAGGGTGAAGATACAAGGACTGGGGGGCTAACAGCGAGTAGAGGAGTAGAGGGACAAGGACAGCAGCGGGCAGTGAGATGCGATGGACTTAGCGACTGGGGCTTATGGCTGCCATGGGACGGTCAAGACTTGGAGAACAGCTGTTAACGCGGTGATTCGAGACGGCTGTCTGTGCCGACGACAGGCTCTCCACGTGTTTCACGCCAACCTAGAAAAAGGCTGAATAGCCCGGAGTCTACATTAACGTTAGCTGAATTACTTAGTAAGTTCTTGCTCTAATGTAGCCTGCACACCTGCTTAGTTTCTTTCTTATATAAGGTGGTTTAGTCTTGCATTTGCTGTTTGCGGTCACGTCATCAGAGCTTAGCAAATGCGGAACAACCCTACTCAAGTAAAGGAGAAGAGAAGAGCGCAAAGCGTCTTGGCGTACGTACTCTAAGACAAACTCTTCACTTCTAGCTCTCTACTCACACGCTTCCGCGCTTTTACGCTCTTACTCGAACCCTAAACTCCACACCCAAATACAAGTTCCCACGCGCCGACAGCAAACATGTATTCCTCGGCACTAGAAGAAGAGGCGCTAAAAGCCATAATTCTGTGTACGGTCTTTTACAAGCATTACTTCTCTCTGCTTAACTAACTCGCTCAACAGCGCATGTTCGCGCTATCCAAGGTCCAAAGTACCCTAGAGGCAGTGTGTTTAGCGTCGTCAGTGTCTGGTATCGTAGAGAAGATGATCCCTATAGCTGCTATATCGTCGTCTACCCCGAAACCAAACCCTTCAAGGCAGGCGAAGTTGTGTCCGCCGACTGGTCTCCGATTATGTCATCGGGTGCTGTTAGCACCGTGCATCAGGGCTACCAAAATCTTCTCAACGATCTGCGGATTGCGATAAAGGAGGTCATAAGTAAGTAAAGACCTAGAAAGAACTAATGCGACTATCCGCTCACAAACTCTAGTAGAGGCGTACAAGAAGAAGGGTGGCATGTAATTCGCGGAAGGCTTATCTACATTAGAACAAGCTCTTGGTCCTGTCTGTAGGAGGAAGGATGTTTCCGGTTTGCTCACCAGCAGTCATATGAAGCTAGGAGGAGGAAAGTCAGCTTGATACATGTCAAACAGCTTGAACCAAGTGAATATAAGTGAAGAATCGGGTCTCGCTTCTTGGCACACGATACACCTATAACAATGTCCCGTTCCCTGCTGTCTATTTCCTCCATCTTACCCTCACGTCTAAACGACCGTCTACGAAAGCAAAAATGGGAGACTATAGTCAGGTCATGCACGAAGAGGCGCTTGTTTCGCGCATACTGTGTAAGTCTCAACGCATCGAACGTGTCTTTGTTTATGCAGCTAACCTATTCGAAAGCCCAGGCCCGCGCTATCTACGGCCCCAAGTACCCCCATGGCTCCACATTCGATGTCATCTACAGCGGCGATATATCTGCAGGCAAGGATCTTGTCGCATGGCTCATCGTTTACCCGATGCCAGACAATGCTGCCTTCAAGACTGGAAAAGCTGTATCGAACGAGTGGACTCCAGTTCTAAAGTCGCGGCGCATAGGCGAAAAGGGAACTGGCTCCACCCTTCAGCGAGGCTACCAAGATCTTCTGAGGAAGCTGCGTATCATGATGGTCGCGACTATGGCTTCCATGGGTAAGTAGAAGATTGCGATGATTTGAGAGAAATGCTCGCTGACAGTCGTCAGAGAAGACAGAGGAGGCAGAGAAGTTAAAGAAGGACGACATCAGCACTGACAAGTAATCAGCGCTGAATCTAGCGGCTTACGGCCACGCTGTCAGTCGACTGATAGAAGTATACATGCATTGAGTCTCTTGACTGGCAATAATAGATAGTAAAGAACCGGGTAACCGCACTGGTAGATACGAATTCGGTAGGGTCAAAACGAAGGTGTAAGTGAGATGTACGTCAGCGCTTCGGCCCACACATATCTCGCAATAGACCCTCTACTCTTAGTTGTCTGCTTCTCGCTCTGACTCTTTCATGCTCCCTCGCTGAGACCGAAACCCTCCGCGACAACAGCCGGAATGTTTGACAACTTCGAGAAAACCGGCGGCCAGGATCAATTCGAAGAGACACTCAAAGCGGCATACATATTGAGCCCTGCAAGAATACTTTGGCTGGATGTGGGCACTGGTGTCGCATTTCTGCGCACTTGTCGTTGCTAAATGCGGACTGTCCGAGTATCGAAGGTGGAGGCGGGCCCGGGATTGCGTCTTGTGCAGTACCATGGTACCCAGATAGACAAGAAACTTTTCGCGCAACATCCAAATCTTCAAACTCCCACTCCAACAACACATCACCACCAACACAACTAGTCATTTTGAAAACATGGTGCTGCAAACGACACCCAGGGCCTGGGCCAATTCCGACTCCGCTATACGGGAGAAAGAGATGAAGGAACAGATCCTTTGTACGTCGCTACTACTTCCCATTCACCCCGTACACTTTAATAACATACAATCAACATGTAGCACAGGCTCGTGCCGTATGTTCTCAAAGTTTCCCATATGGCTCAGGTTTCGATATCGTTCATGCCACGGCCGAAACTCACCTCATCGCTTATGCCCCGTTGGGCACGTATCCGGAAAAGGACTGGGAGATTGTTCTTTCGGTCGATAACGATAAGAGCTTTTTGTGCGGTTTGAACGCTCTCATGGTAGAACTTACAAAGCGGCTGGGTGACAAGATTGGTAAGCACGGTGGCCGAAGACAGAAAGTGCAAGAACTAACTGAGCGGTCCTGTTACAGAGCAGAAGAGAAAGGGTCGTGTTCAAGCACCTGTGCAGGTTCGGGAGCGTCGTGAGGACAGAGAGGCTAGAGAGGCTGAGAACGCGCGAAGACTTCTCTGATTCATTCGATGGTGGAATCTTTGTTCGTGAACGATGGGTACGCGGTCGCTAGCGGTACCGCGCCTCTACCCATATGCGCAGTATCAACTCCACACCAGACACTTGCGAGTCTGGAGGGTGTGGCAAAGAAGATGGAGATGGAACTTTTGTCACTACACATGCAACGGCACATGCAACGGCACATGCAACGGCACATGCAACGGCACATGCAACGGCACATGCAACGGCACATGCAACGGCCATAGCCCGATTGCCAGCCTCACTTCAGCTACTATAGCAATGCAAACATCGACGAGAAACTGCCATTTCGTAATTCATGCCAGAAACCGAGCGCCGAAGTTCCGTTTGAGGAGTCCTTGCTATTCTCGCTGCGGATTAGTCACGTAGTTCAGGTCATAAGCGAGGAGGTGAAGGTGAGTTGCACTTTCCGCAGCTAATAAGAAATCTTCAACACGACAACTACAATCCTTCTACCTCCCACTTTCCAAACCACAACAACCCCACGTCACCCCCAAGCTCAGCAGTCATTACCACCATGGCCATGTCCAAGTACTACTACTACTACTACTACTACTACTACTACTACTACTACTACTACTACTGCGTCTATTCCAGCCCGTTCTGACCTCAATATTTGAGTATGCAGGCTATCCTTTTTCCACGAAGTGGATGTCCAAGTACGAAACCATCATCTGGGAAGATAAGATGAAAGAGCGGATCATGTGTAAGCAATCACGATTACAATGCTCCACCCCTCAGACTAATATTTGACTATCTTAAAGCTCTTGCTCGCGCGAGATACACCAGCGATTTCGAAAGTGGTTCGGTCTTCGACATCATTCACACTACTGTCAAACACGGCAACAGCACTTCTTACGATACCCACCTTATCGTCTACGAGTCGCCGAGCACCAACGAGGTCTTCCAGTTCCTCATCACTATGCAGTGCAACTCTTTTGCCCAGGGACTGGAAGCTCTCATGAGTAGGATCCAAGCGCAGTTGGGTCGTAGCATCAGTAGGTTGCTTAGCCAATAAGCCCACATCCGTGTAGGACCTGACTGACTAGTCCACAGAGAAGGCAAGGGAAGACAAGTTGCGGGACGAATCTGAATACGGAAATTATGGCTACGATTCGGACGGAGACCGCTACGAGTACGACCCAGAGGTTGAGGCTGAAAAGGCACGAAGTCGCACGATGAAGCTTGCCTTGACCAGCAATTCGGAGGTTGCTCGTGGATAGCGGAACTGGTTCTATTCGTAGCAGAGACGCCGAATCAAGCGTTGGCGAGTCGGAAGAGAGCAGTTGGGAAAATACAGCGAGTGTTCTCCACGGTCTACATGGAGAAAAATCGGCCTGTATGCGCCAGTGCCTCGATAGATAGGAATGCAATCCATCAATCAACATGTGCCATCGCGCAGACTATGTCACTTCCTACACTCCTACTGTTAACATACTGAGCCACATGTCAGAGTCCGCCGGGAAAAAGACTGAAAATTTGCTCAGGAGTTGTTTGCTGTCTCCGTTTTGGGCTAGCTCACAACAAGAGCGGTAGGTGAGAGTGAGTCGCGCTTTCCAATTGATAAGAAACTTTTCGCGCGACAACAAGCTCCAACGCTTCTACTTCCCACTTCTACAAAATTCCACACTCCGCATCTAGTCGCCGGACTAAGGCACCGCCACAAGCACCATGGCCATGTCCAAGTACGATAACATCCTCTGGGAGGAGAAGATGATTGACAAAATCTGCGGTAAACCGTCTTTTTTCACTCCTCTACATATCTCAAAGCTAACTCAATCAGATCACGCCCGTATCCTGTACTCTCGGGAAATAACCCCGAACTCCATCTTCTACGTCCTCAACTCCACTTCCAAAATGCCCGGCTACGCACTCGTGACCTACACTTCCCACGTGGTCACCGTAGACGAGCCTACAAGCACTGCGTGGAAAGTCCTCTTGTCGAGTCAGGATTGCATGTCTCTTCAAGAAAGCCTGGGAGAGACACTACAGACTCTGCAAGAGCGTCCGCGACCTCGCATGCGTAAGTCCTCATGCAAACAATTCCAGAGAGCCCCCAGTGTTCCTTGCTAACACTATGTAGTTACAGAGCCCGCTGTACAGCCGGTTGACAAGGAGACCGACGACTCGGCTGGGCGTTCTATCAAGCAGGAACCTGTTGACGGATCAACCGATCGAACCGAGGAACAACGCCTAGAGTCAGAGCGCCCAGAAACTTCGTTCGAAAGGGCTTTTAGACTTCAACAAGCCAAGGAGGAATCAGCTAGGAAGCGGATGCGATACTAGACCACACGCCACTTGGTCTCATCTATGAGTACATCATGATGGACTGGGTATCTTCCGGGTTATTTCTCACGCTGAACAAGGCTGCTGGGAGGAACATGGGGGGTAATCGCAGGTCAACAGATCGAGTGTAACGATCGTCTACACTGCTTGAAATGCTAAATAGCTTTCATACACAGCATCTTAAAGACCACACACATTGTCACGGACCCATCCCCTCCCCATCTCACACACTACAGCAAATCATCCTCATCAACCTTCTCCCCCCTCCTCCCCGCAAGCCAAACCCTCCCACTCTCATACGCCCCAAGATACAACCCGGCTCCAATAAACGTCCAAACACCTCTCAACGCACCACCTCTCCACAACCCCTTAAACCCCTTCTCCTCTACAATCTCTTTACCCACAGCCCAACTACTCTTCCTTCCTTTCGACTGCGACGGCGAAGACTTCATCGGATTAAGAGAATCCGCCGCGTCCTTCGCCGCATTCTTCATCGTGTCTTTCGAACTCGCCGCCGACTTCCCCAGCGCATCAACCAACCCACTCTTCCCCCCATTCCCCCCCTTCTTTTTCACGTCTTCCCCAGGACCCTCCGCAGCAGCAAGCATGACCCTCGTCTTAACAACATCAACCGGCGTCGTAAGCACCGCACTGACCGCCCCCGCACTCCCCGCGCTCAACGCCGTAATCCAGCCCATTTCAAATATTCCGCCCCTCGTTAGTCCCTTTTCATCCCTATACCTCTTAATCCCCTCTTTGAGTCTCTCGAACATTGGGAATTGCATCGCTGTGAAGGGCAGATTGCGGCCTGCGAGGGCGGTGTAGCCGCGCCAGAGGGCGAGGGGGTTGGATTGGAATTTTGCTGGATGGATGAAGTCAATGTATGTCGAATGTGTATGGGTGGTTTGTGTGGTGGATTGGGGATGGTGGCATAGGCGATAGTGGATATGGGATAAGGGTGACTTACCCAGTGTCTGTAAAGTAGCATTCTGCGATTGAGAAGTCGAAGACACCATCTGCGCGTTTTGCTTTATAACTTCTGCGGGGGTGAGGATGGCGCAGGAGACTAGTTCTGCCAAGGAAGAGGCGGAGGCGTGGACGAAGGCTATGGGGAGGATGGCTTCGTTTCTCGTATTCGTATTTAAGCGGGTAAATAACGACTTGGTGTGTTCGTAGGTTGTGAAGAACGCTCCTGCTGTTGGTTTGATTAGTACATCTTCTTCTTCTTTCTAAATCTCCGTATTTCCTGTTCTAACCCTTCTACATCATCTCTCATATACACCCCTATCCCTGGGTATTTGTCCCCTCCTGCTCTTCACGAACCCCCTTCTTCACACACTCCATCCCCCATCACTTTCCTCGAACCCGGGTTTAGAAATCTCTACTTACAGCTCGGCAACGTAGCAATAATCACACTCCCAATCCCCTGATACACACCACGGAACAACTTTGGATCCACCTTGCCCGTCCGCGTATCCGTGTAGAGTTTAGCATATTCCGGGCTTTGGATGCGCGTTTTTATTGTGTCGAGTGGGTAGACGAGGAGGTCTACTGTGAAGGCTGCTATTGCGCCGGCCTTTTGTTGTGGTGATGTTAGTCGGGATCTCTTGAACAGGTTCTTCGTGTTTGGAGGTTGGGTGGTGTGTTTGTTCGGTTTCCATCTCTTTCTCGTTCTCAATTAATTGGCATGGAGAAGACGCGATGTCGGTCGCATACACGCAGCTGCCAAAAGCCCGCGTCCAAGCCATTCAAAATCAACAACACCAGAGATTGAAACTCACAATCAAAATATCAGAACTAGTATTCCCCGCCATTGCAAAGAGAAAAAGACACGTCAAGCTGCAGATGTATGAAGATCAGATGTTTTCGCCAGGATTATTCTGAGCCTCGTAATCGATCTTCAGGTACATACAGGGTCCGATAAAACCTCATGCATTACGTCACCGATGATCCGCCGACACGGATTCGCAGCTAACGGCATACACGACTTCACGTGCCCGAAAACAACGAGAAGATTCATGGTTATGAATAGTTGATGTATATAATGTGTCTAGATTATTTTGTGTACTATTTTCTTTATCTAATCTCACAATTTCCATCCCCGTCATGCCGTACCTGCACCTGCTGCGGCATTCCCTCCGCTAGCAGCAACCCACGATATCAAAGAAGAAGGGGTATATAAACCTAATCCCACCCAGGATCTCATCCGTCGTACATGATCCCAAACCCACATATTTCCCATTCCCTAAACGCCTATAAAAACACTTTTCATAAAGACATATCCATCCCATCATAGATCGAACCTGCGATCATTTCCATTTCCATTTCCATCATAAAAACGCAAAGAAAAAAGAAGGGGATACTACCACCACAAACACTAGAGCTTCGTATCCTGCCTATTAGAGTCGCTCAGCCTGCGGAAGGGCCCTTGCATCGTGGCACTAGGACCCGGCCTAGCACTACCCGCACGTGTAGCGTTACTCCCGGCGCTCGCACTTGCGCCTGCGCCTGCGGTACCTGGTGTTCTGGAAGTGGCGGTAGCGTTGGAGCGCTGTTGGAGTGTCGCACTGACTACCCATTGCAGGTGCATGCGCATGTTGCTGATTGCGGCGTTGACGTGCAGCATTTCGTCTTTGGAGCGTTGGCTCTCGTTGATGATCATCATGTTGGTGCGGCCGTCGAGGTCGGTGAGCGCGTTGGAGATGCGGGATACTTCTTCGCGGAGGGAGTCGTGTAGTGTGAGGAGGTGGTGGACTTGGGAGTCGAAAGGAGGCTGGGCGGAATTGTTGCTGTCGTTTCCGCCTGGTGGGACTGGTGGGAATGAAGCGGGTGGGAGGCGGAAGTCTGGCGTGGGTGCTTGGGGGTCGGCGTCGTTGGGGTCCAGGGGATCGGTAACAGGGAAGGAGGCGTCGTTTCCGTTGGCTGGATACAGGTAGTTTGTGATGTTGGTGAGACCGTCTTCGAGAATGCCGACTTTCCTAGTCAGGGGCTCCATTCGCGCCTCGTTCCTCTCGATGCGGGCCTGCTGTTCGCGGAAGTGGGGCGCCATGGTTGCCATTGCACAGGTCGGTTCGTGGAGTACGACGTCGGCACGCTCGGCTTGGAACTTGCATCCGACGATGGTGCCCTGGCATGATATGACATGTTTCGGGCAGTCGTTGTTGATGTGAGGCTTGAGGTCTAGCCGCAGTATCTCAGCCGAGCAGAGCGTGCAGGTAGTCAAGCGGTTAGCACAGAGGCTCCGCTGGTGCTCTTCGAGGTCCTTCTTGAGGAGCGAAGCGTGACAGTCCTCGCAGCTGACGGTGTAATGCAAGCAGCCCTTGTGGAAGTCCTTCTGTGATATCTGCAAGCGACAGTCTGCGGCAGAGCATTCGACGGGCGTGTACTCGCAGTACAGCATGACGTGGTCGTTGACGTTGACGCGTTGGGCGACCCAGTTGCAGCCTGCCTTGGTGTTCGGGCACTTGACGACAAGCTCATCCAGCATCGTCTCGATAATCTTAGGCACCGGGCGAATGTCACTGTCGCTTTCAACAGCATGCCGGCACGTGGGACATGTCCTCTTATGCTGTGGTGCCCATGCGTGATCGAGACACTCGCGGCAGAAGTAGTGGTCGCAGGAGAGCTGGACGGGCTTATCGAAGGGGGCGTGGCAGATGAGGCAGGTGAGGTTGCTGTCGGGCGTGGAGACGTATTCTAGGCTGGCGAACTCGGGGGGTACTTTGACGATTCGGCTGTGACGGCGCTTCGTTGAGGGTGAGTTTGAGACGCGGACGGCCAAGGGCGAGGGGCTGCTGGGAGGGCCGCCGACGGGCATTCCACCATGATGCTCCTCGGCCCAGCCAGTCCAGTTGGCGTTGCTAGACGAGCGCGACGAGCGGGAAGACCGGCGGTCGTTCGGGGGTGGGATGGGGCTTGGCGACGACATGCTGGGGGAGTTGGTGTGGAGTGTTGGTGAGAGCTGGCGACGGATAGACGCTTATGAAAGAGACTCGCGTTCACTCGCGTCGGGGCAGGTGCAGTCAGCGGTGAGATGCGCTGTCTCGGGTCTCCTCTTGAGTGTCGATCGAGGTGGCTGTGGGGGGTTTGTTGGTCGGATGGTCGCCCTGCCAGTCATCCACGGGGGGCTGCAGAGCGCCAGAAGCAAAGACTATGTCGGGCGGTCAGGATGGCACATTCTCCCGAAGCAGAAGGGAGCATGCTGTGGCTTGGAGGTTGCGCGACAGAGCGACATGGTGCAGCCCTGGCCGCTCCACACCAATGATGCCCCAGCCGCCCAGCCACGGCATAGTGGGCCTGTCGTCAGCGGTCCGCTCGCGGCTCCTGGAGTGCAGCAGCCTTGCCATCTCCACTCGCGCTTTAGCTGCAACGTTGACTGTATCTGTTTCGCATTGCCTGTACATAGTCGCGCATCGCATATAATCTATTCCCCGTGCCTTCCTCAATCGCCTCGTTCGCGCGTACCATCTCCGGCGCATTGGGTCCCCGTACCACGCACTACACCACCGCCTGCAACCAACCTTCACCCACCACAGCCACCATGGCAACCAACCCCCCACAGCTCTTCCTCCTCGCCGACCACATCAAGCTCTCCCTGCTCGAGCGCCAACGCGCCCTCTCCCTCAACCTCCCCTCCAACAGCCAAGATGGCCAGATCTCGCGCTCGCTGGAGCAATTGCGCTCCGGCATCGAGTCGCTGGAGTCGCAAGTCCAAGACACGTCGGACGAGTAGGCCCACCCGACATCTCTCTATACAGGAATATTATTTACTAATGTATCGTTAGATCAATAACATCACAACTCCCCCGTCTACGCACCCAACTCGCAGAACTAACATCGCAATTCACACCCACCACCAAATCCACCTCCAACACACCAACATCACCGACCCTAACCTCCCCCAACAACCCCTCCCTAACCTCCGACTTCGCCGCTGCCCAATCAAAGAAACCCGCTCCCACGCGCCAAACCTCAAAATCCGTGCGCTTCTCAGACAACAC